GGATGGGGAATGTGAAGAAGGAAAACAGGAGGACGGGGCGAAATATGCACCTCCACCTCCACACCCCAACACCCAAAGCGTTTAGGGGCAAGGGAAGGGATGGCAACTTCTCCTGGAAGATGTATTTCACTTAAGATGTGCCTTTGCTTTCCAAGCAAAGAAGATTGATGGTTTATGCCTGGATTTCCCTCCAAGTATTTGCCTTCCTTGTATTTACAGGCGTGGCCCCAGTTGTAAGTTGTACATCTGTTCTCTTCACGTGACATTTCATCCAAGCCCTAACATCTGGGCAAGATAAACTTCCTTCAGGTACCTGCTTAACTTTTCACTTGTCACATTGGAGTCACCTCAGCGTGGCCTTCCATCCCTCGGCCTGCCTCAGTGGCTGAATCTGTGGTTCTCTTTGTTCTAGTCCCCTTCAATCCAAACTTTTCCAAGTCGGGCCCCTCCCAGTGCCAACCTTTGCCAATGTCTTTAGCAGAGGTCTAATGGCTCCTGACTGTGGCTCAACTCCTCAGGTCAATGAGGGCAACGTTTTGAACCCAAAAAGGAAGCGCGCGGGGGGGGGGGGGGGGGGAGGAATCCTATTTTGCTTTTGAAATATTTCACAGTGAAAACAGAAAACAAAGCAAAAACCAAAGCTGCCTAATAAGCAACATTCAAACTCACATTGGGGTTCGGCAGTCTCTCAGGTCTATACCTTCCTCCATGCAGGGAGAAGGGAGTGGCTGGTTTTGGTGGCCGTCTTCCCATCCAGCGAGCGGTCCCTCTATCTGGTAGACACTTAAGCTGCATGGTTTACAGAAATTTAATTTCACTCGCTTCTAATCTCCCCTCCCCCAAGAACCCTGCCTCCCGGGATGAATGCTTTTAGAAGGGTTTTTTTTTTCTTTCTGTCTTTCTTTCTTTCCTTCCTTATGTGAATTGCTGTTCCCTTGGCTTCAGCCTGAATCTTGCGCAGACGCACCACCACTCATCCACAAACACAGGGGGAGGGGGAGTAGCCGGAAAAGAAAATAGTCCACGTAAACAAGAAAAAGTCCGCTGGAGGCCCTCTCCACAGCAAACCCCAAGCTATGGCCTCGCAGGGTGCTCACGAAATCCCGGCTATAATTGACTGTTTTCTTTGAGGTTTTTTGACCATGTGCTGCTTAGCATGGTTACTACCACTGATACAAGAAAATGAATATTCATTATGATCCCATCCTAACTTTCCCCCACCCCCCTCCAGGATTTTATATCTAGCGTCTATGGAGGAGAATAGAAAAGTTTGTACCAGTCATTTTAACCTGCCCCGCCTTCCAGTGACCTGCCACATGCTCCTTTTTACTTTATAGACATCTGGGAATTCCATACATGCCTTAAACTCCAATTACACACCTTCTTCAAAGGACACGTGCTTTGATTTGCTAAGAACATTAAGTGGGCTCTCGCATTCAGGGGTCTTGAGACAAAAGCAAATGGAAAATGTATCCCAGGATCTGTTTCCTAGGTCTGCATTTTGGCGTCCAATAAATAAAGGAAATGAATAATCCTTTTGATATTTCCGAGGGCTAGAGTTGCAAAGGAGAGTTGGGTGGTTTGTGAGAAATAAAGGGATGGATGGAGTTGTCGGGTTTGAGAAAATCTGGAGAAGCCAACTTCATCCATTGTGCCTATGCGTCCTTTCTTTCCACTTTCTCTGGTGCTGGGAGTGAAGCACTCTTTATGACACATAAGCAGAAAATTCTATAAAAGTGGACCCTGGGGATCTCCTTCCCGACCCCTGTTTGTCGCTAATACGGGGCCTGTCGCTGGAAATTTGAGGTTGGGCCTTTGCCTGGATTGTTACTGCTGCTTCTCTTGCTACCGCTGACACTTGGCGCTGCCGCTGCCTCCAATCATCAGCCAGACGCCAGGCCCCGCGGGTCCACGCCATCCTAGGAGGGCTCAGATTTTTGTCACTGTCCCTGGTGCAGGCCGGCCCGCCACCCACACAGGGCAGCCTGGGCCTGTGCCCCTCCAGCATGCCCACCGCAGGTGAGACCCTCACTCCCCACGGAGTTCTGTTTGGGTTTCCGTGTCGTTTGTTCCCCCCGCAGGTTTGTTTGTTTTTCTTTAAATTACAGATGCAGGGAAAACCGCCTGACATCATGAGAGTGGGACAAACGCTCACTTTGAAGGATTCCTGGGCAGAACTTCAAGTGAAATCATATGCCTGAGAAGAACTTGATACCGGTCTAGAGAAAATAACTAGTTCTGACTCTGCCAAACCATGGAATGTGCAAAATGCTCTACTTTTTTGCAAGAGGCCAAGTGTCCCTTAAAATGCTCTATTATGAATATCAACCCGAAGACGCTGGAAATGGGTGCCATCATTGAATGGAAGGAGGAAGTTCACAGGTTGCGTGCTTTTGCTATTTCACGATATTTTATGCCTAAGTTCCATTTTGAGGGGGGGGGGTATTTGCAATTCGTGCATGAATTATTATCTGGGCATGTGCTTACATGTATATGCAAAAAGGAAATGTGAGTATATGGGAACAAAATATATGCATTGTTGTAATTGAAGACTATCAGTGAAACGAAATTAAAAGAAATATATAAAAGTAATTATTTGCACAGTAAACATTTCTTGTTTTAAGACACAATATTTTCCCCTAATGAATGCATTCTGGCTAAAAGTCAACTGCCCAGAGTCCAGTCACCATATTAAATGGTAAGATTTAGCGTCCTGATGATGAAACAGAGGTAATTTATTTGATGTGCCTTTAAGTAAGTACAGGGAATGAAAATAACGTGGGATGGAGTAAAATGAGAAGATATTATAGTGAAGGAGGCAAAACAGGTGACTTTATTTCCACTCTTTAAAAGAGTAGAGCATTTCATCCCTTTTATGTGGGATGGGTATACTGAAATAGTTGGCAGGCTGAAAAATATATTCAAGTAGTTAATATTTTCTCCTATGAAGTCTGCTCTTCTTTGAGAAGTTTTACTTTGTCACAGTGTAACTATTACCAGAATATTAGCTGAATATTACCATCTTTCTATGCTTTACTTTGTATTTCTCTGAAAGCTATGGCAACATATTACCTTCGGTTTTCTATTTAGTATTACTGGATACAAGAGACAACAACATTTGCATTTCTGCAGAGATTCCTTTATGAAAAAAGTAAAAAAAAAGTCCAAGCACTTTTTTAAAAAGGCAAACAGAAGGCTAATTTTCTTTGAAACATATAGTTTATACATGTAGAGTTAAGATAGCATTTACCTTCTCAATGGTAATGGTCAGTTCCATCCTGGAGTGCATGAAGAGCTCTGAAATACCAAATAGTCAGACCAAGCTAGTGAACAAGGAGATTCCCCAGGAACCATTTTAAAAATGGAGGTAGTTGAGTGATACACCAAATACAATCACCATCTAGATGTCTTCCCTTTTCCTTCTAGGGCACTCTAAGCTTCTACCCTATCCAACATACCCTCCCTCACCCACCCACATGTCCCCCAAACACATTCACATAGAAGCATCTTTCTTTTTCATTATTTGCAAAGTTTGCAAAAATAAAATAAATTTTATAAACGAAATAACAATCCCCCAAAGCTGCACTAATCTTTTAATGTAAATAATTGTTACAAGGATGAAAAATTCACAATAATGTATTTATAATACTGCATTCTATGGTACTGTGTGAAGAGGAAGACAAAACTTCAGGCAATAAAATAACCTCAACCTGAACTAAACAAACAGAGGCTATTTTGATACACCTCCTTATTTGACAGTCTTTGTCTGAATTGGGCACCAAAACAAAGGTACAGTTTTAAAGTTTCCTTGATTGCATTTGAATGCTGATATTGGGTGTAAAATTTCCAACTGAAATTGTTTTATTAACTACCATTTGAATATCAATGACAAAAAAACCATTTTGTTTCTAGCCCAGAAAAAAATCAACCACCATTTGTTCTTGTTTTACTGAAGGTCATCACATTATGCATGTACTTGTGTGTATCTATGTATCTCTAGGGGAAAATTCTGTGTAATTATGGATAAAATGTATTTGCCAAGAAACTGACTAGAACCTGAATGACTGTAGCATTTTACATTGTAATTGTTTCAAAAGTTACCAAGGACAGTGAAAATTCAAGTCCTTTATTTACCTTACTCCAAAACTATATATATACGTATATATACACACACATGTATGCATACATACATATCTCCTTTACATCTTAAAAAAGAGCTTATTCCCACATAGAGAATAAACATAGTAAAATACTTTTAGCCAACATGATTCATTCATGAAAGCAGTTGAGCAAATCATAAATGAAACCATCACTTTCTCCTTGAATTAAAATTGTTTGACATGCATTTGTATTCACTTACGTGTATGTATAAGTAAATTCCATGAACAAAATTTTCCCCCCCTGAAATGAGCTTTCAAGGATCTTCAGAGAGTGCAGGGTACCACAAAAATACACAGTAACAAGAGAAAAAATAATGGTGGATTCATGCTGCTTATCGGAAAGGTTTAGCCCAACTATCTGCAATAACAAATAAGGAAAATAGCAGATATGTGAATACTTTGCTTTGCTGCTGGCAGGAGTGGGGTAGGGAGATTGATAAAAGAGGAAGAGATGCTACTAAGCCCCCCTTGAACACCAAACTAGAATAATAATAAAACTGTCTTTTAAAATAACATGTCTGTGCCTGTCGGTGGCTGGTTTATTTGAGTTTTTCACTGCTTGTTTATATTAGTGCCCTCTCCCTCCAGGGTGCCTCCAGTGTTAAACAAGTAGGTATTTACCACCAATTTTATCCTGAGCTTTAAAAATATAGACCAAACTCTAAAATTCTTAAAATTTTCAATCATATTTATTTATTGCAGAAAAATAATATACAAAGATATTTACAAAACAATCATAAAAATATGAATGCATTTAGACACCGGATCTATTTGCATTTTTACCATGGGTTATCAATAAATAAATAGAATGTCGTTTTTTTGTATTTTAAGTTTTTTTCCCCCCTCAGAAGAAGAACGAAAAAGGGAATTAACTGACTATGATTTTGCAGGCCAGTTTGATCCCAGCAATTTTATTTTTAAAGGTGTTCTGCAATCCCTCTCATTGTTACCATGTTAAAATGGAGAAAGTCCGCAATGATGCCTTTCCTTTCAGTGGCTGATTGGCACGACCTCTTGAGAATGCATGCATGAAAAGTAAAAATAAAAAATAACATTCTTCGTCAAAACAAAAAAAAACAAACAAAAAAAGAACAAAAACAATTGTTCAGACTTCTATCAGAATGTAGAGGTGTGAGGATGGTGCCGCTGCCCGTCTGGGAATCAGTGTCCACGGCCCTGTCTCGCTTGCTTTCTCTTTTAAAAGTGCGCCCCACGCCCTGTTTCTTTCAATCTGGGTTCTGCTCTTCTAATCTCCAAGAAAATCTTAGGTATATATATATATATATTTATTTTTTTTTTTAGTTATCCAGCTCCAGAGTCTCTAGACTGTCCATTTTCTCCTTCTCTGGAAACAATGACATCTGCAAAAACCCAGAGGGGAGGGGAGGGGGGAAAGTTGGTTATTGTTTTAGGTCTCTGTGGCTGTTTTCTAAGACTAGTTGAGCTGTGTTATCACCACCAGGGAAGAAACCAGGCTGAACAACCTGGAAGGATTTCAGCCCAAGGGCAAGAGGAAGTGGGTGGGCGGAAAGGAGGAGGTGGAATTTGGGAACATTTGTTTGAAGAAGAACGAATTTTTCAAGCCAAAAGAACCGGAGGCCCTGGCCACACCGTCCTTCGAGTTGACCCAGGAGCCTTTTCTCAGCCTTCCCGCTGTCTGTCACGCACATTCAGGCACCCGCACACCCCGGACCAGGCTGGGCGCATCCCCTGGGGACCTCCCTCGCTAGCGCGGACGCCGGTGGGGCACAGGTAGCAGGACCGGCTGCGAGGACAGCGGGGTGTCCGAGAGGGCAGCGATGAGGACGGGGAGCTCGGCCTGGCCAGCGGGCCGGCCATCTACCACCTGAGCGAGCTAGAGGCGCCCAGACGCGGGTCCTTACCTAGGTCTCCGGCCCTGCCGAGGGGGTGGGGAGCTCCTGCTAGTGCGAGGCGGACATGGACCAGGCTCCCTCCATCCTCCAGACCGAGAAGGCGTAGCTGAGCCGCTCGTGGGCCACATAGCTGCAGCTTGCCATCTTGGAGTCCAGCTCGTCGCTCTGGAGGACCTGGTAGAGGAAGTCGATGTACCTGGCGGCCAGCTTGAGGGTCTGAATCTTGCTCAGCTTGTCCGAGGGCAGTGTGGGGATGATCTTCCGCAGGGCGGCGAACGCTTCGTTCAACGATTGCGTGCGTTGGCGCTCCCGCACGTTGGCCATGACCCGCTGCGTCTGCAGCTCCTCGTACGATTGCTGCCGCCGCCCCCGCCGCCCGCGCCGCCGCCCCCGCCGCAGCCCGCAGATTTCTTGCCGCGTTTGCCCTGGGCCGGACTTCCCGGCTCGTCGCCGCCCGCGACGCCCCCGCCTGCGGCGCCGCCGGGCCCCGCGCCGCCGCCGCCCGCGCTGCGCCGACTGCCGCGCCGCTTGCGAGCCCCGCGCTTGCCGCTCGGTGGCTGCTGTCGGTCCGGCTCCTCCTCGCTGTTGCTCAGGCTGTCCTCGGCCGGCGAGACTGGCGAGCTGGACACGTCCTGCATCATCTCTCGGGCGGGCGATGTGCGCGGCCTCGGGGGCCCGGGGCAGAGGAGCGGCCCGGGAAAGAGGGACTGGAGCGCGGCGCCTCAGCCCGCCAGCTTCCCCAGCGCGCGGCGCCGGCCGGGGCGGTGCGGCCCGCCGAGGAGGGAGCGGGGAGGAGGGAGCGGGAGGATCTCCGCGGGGAGGGCGCGCGGGGGAGGCGGGGAGGAGGGCGGGAGGGGGAGGGGACGGTGTGGAGGGCCCCGAGGTCCAAAAAGAAGGCGCGCAGCCGCCACACGCACGCCCCGTTCGGCCTCCTGGAATCGGTGTCGGTGCTGGCGAGCCCGCGAAGCGTCTGGTAGTTGGGCGAAAGCTGCAGACTTGGAGGCTCTTATACCTCCGTGCAGGCGGAAAGTTTGGGGGCAGCGGTGTCATTGGCCTGACGTGGGGAGGAGGGACTTTTCCAAGTTTTATAGGAAAGTTTCCGCTTTCCAGTACCCCCTCCCTTCCCCCACGTCTCTGCCCCCCCTCCCTCCCTCCCCACCCCCTCGCTCCCCACCCTCGCCTGGTCCGGGTCTAACAATCTGTCCTCCCAAACCATTCAAAAACGACCTGGCCCCGGCGGCCAGCCCCTCCGCCCGCCTCCCCGCTGCCCTCCCCCTTCCCTGTACGGCGGCGGGCGCGGGGCGATTTCCTTCCGCGCCCTAGCGCGCGGGCAGCGCTCCCGCACCCGAGCGCGAGCTCCGGGAAGCGGCCGGCGCGCACTGCCCCGGGCCGCGGCGGAGACCCGTACGTCGTGGCTGAGACGTTAGCGGTGACACCGGCGTCCTCCCACCCCAGATCTCTCCGGGTTTAAGATTGCTGGGGCGGGAGTGGCAAGAAAAGTAGCAACTGCGGAGCCCTCCCAAAGGTCAGCTAGATGAACCCCTGGGGTTCGCAGGGCGCCGTCGCCACGACGGGGCCCCTGGCATCCTGGTGGTGGGTGAAGACGTGGCCTCACCGCGGGAGCGGTGGGTCTCTGCCTCGGCCTCGCCAGCTCACGCACCACCCCTCCCGGAGAAGTGTCTGGGCCCTCTTTTCCCCTCATCAGTGACCCAATCTAAATCGTCCCCACAGCCGTGAACACCGAGCCTCCTCCAAAGGTGCTAGAAAGAGGTGCGAGCTGGTCTCCCCGCAGAGGGAAGGCTTGCCCTTGGGGAACCGGAGCTGAGCCTCGCCAGAGGAGGGCTGCGCGGTGCCCTCGCCCAGGCCCGGATTCGCGGTGCTGCTAGCCCCAGGTGGCGGGAACCCGGGGCCACTTCATCTCTACCCACCCCGAAGTTAGGCCTTGTGCTATGACCTTGGGCAGGTCAGCCCATTTCAAAGTGAAGTGGGGATTCGTGTCCCCACTCCTGTCTCCCCCTTCCCCCCTTCCTAGCGGGTCAGTGGCAAGTTGTGGCTGCAGCGCCCGAACGCATTGCAGTAGCTGGGACTGGTTTGACCTGTAAGCATTTGTACCTAGTAAGCAGAAACCAAGAGAGGCTGGAAGGAAAGCCCATCTTGGCAATGCTAGACTTCTTTTCTTTTCCTTTTGGGGGGGGTGGGGGGAATCCAGTTGGGGTTAAAGAATCATTTCAGGTTGATCTCCTTACGTTACAAAACAAACCAAAGGAAGAAGGTAGCGGAATCCGGAGGCGGGCAGCGGGGGGGGTCGATTTAGAGGCGCTGGGATTCCCATCTCAGGCTGAGAGGTCCGCCCACCGACTCCCCACGGTTGAGAGGGCGGGAACCCTTCGACGGGCCAGCGCCCCTTTGGGTTCTGGACCCAGGATCTTGGCTGTGGTTGCCGGGAGTCCGAGAAGGAGGCGGGAGCCCAGGCGGCACTGGGGCTGGCAGTGTGGGTCCCGGAAACCCCGGGGTGTGAAGCGCCCTGAGCTGTTTGTGGGGTTCACCTTTTGGAGGCACGAGGAGGTTGTAGTTACCTGATCCGGAAGGACCTGATCCACAGCACTTTTACATCCACCGGAGGAGGGGGGGGCGGGGAGATGGGTCATTATCGGGAATTGTGCCTCACCCTTTCTACAGATGCTCAGAAACAATGACCACAGCGTGCCAGCTGGGCTGCTTCGCCAACTCCTGCCATGGTTAAAACTGACAGCGGGTGTGCAAATCAAATTCTTCTTAGCCTCCACTTAATTTGCTGTGTCAAATCTGTAGGCAATCCTCAAGTTAGCAGTCACCCGGCTTCCCATGTTCGCATCTGCCTCCTACAGGACTTCGTGTCTTGTGTCTATCGAGCAGGGCAGACATTCTCCCCTATGTATGCTCAACCGAGTGCCTGTAACTCTGAACAGCCCAGCATTCTGAAATTCTTATTTAGGAAATCTCGAAAAATCCTCACTGGAGTTACCACTGTCAAACTGAAGTCTTACTTGGGGAGTGGGGGATGCTTTAGCTGAGTATAAAACGTACAGAAATGGAACGATTGCTTCCTTTCTTTGTGGTCACGGATGAGGAAGACAGGGAAAACGTGGGCAAAATGTAAAGGAAACTTTACCTGACCAAGGGGAATTGGAGAGGAGGAAGGAGAGGTGGGGGAGAAACCCTTGTCTGAGACAGTGGGAGGCAGAGGTCATTAGCCAGCCGACTTGCACCGTCATCAATCTCCAAGGCTAGTTCTTAACTGGGAGCCCAGCCCTTCTATAGCACTAAACTCCACGGGATGGATGGCTCCTGGGCCATCCCTTCTGGGGACCTCCAGGGCTGAAGCGTTGCTCCGGATGCCTGCAAGCTTAGAAAGTCTGGAAAACGAATGACCTAATCAGGACCATCCCGGCCATGGATGTGTTTTTCAAAGAGGTCACAATCGATGACTTCAGTTATAAGAAGACATTACTCTTCAAATCTTCTGACTGGTGAAGGATGAAACCAGTTTTGGAGTACCTAAGTAGGGCTGGCAATTTTTTTGGGGGGGGCCTAATTGAGGGAGGGGGAGTATGAGCTTGTCAGGTGAATTGCTTCTCAAACATATCTGGGGCTGATAATTCTTGTTTTGCAAACTGTGACATGCGGTGGTGGACTCTGTCCACTCAGCTCTATCAAACGTTTTATCTAACAGTTTTCTTTTCCATACTTACTCCAGTGCCAATGCTCCCTTTTTATGTGCTGAAAAGTCGATGTAATTCTGCATTATCTCCTGTGCATCAACAATTGTAATTTCCACAATGTTTCACTTGAATCTATAAAGATTTGCCTTATTCTAAAATCCCAATTTCAGGCTTTTAAGTACAGTCTTAGCAGTTTTACTTTAGATCTGAGTGTCACTGGGGGGATGTCAGGGGATGGCTACCTTCTTTGGGAAAGCAAGTTTAGCTGAGATCCAGTCATTTTGTTTACTTCTAAAATAAGGTCCCTGAAATAATTTTAACTGAAAACAATTTTTTTCTTTTGCACTTGGATAATTCAAAACGAGCTTTGTTTTCAAATTGCAAGCTTGGCATGTTTGCAGCCCTTCCTGAGGAATGTGTGCTGTGTTTAAAGAAAATTGCAAAAAATGCCTTTAGAAGTAACCGAGTTAGAAATCTCATACTGAGCATACACAATAAGTCTGTATGTATCTTTACAGTTTAAAGATACCCTTAGCATTCTCATAGCTACAATTAGTTATAAATACTTTCAAATAAGAAAAGGAAGTACACTATAGAATTGTCAGCTCACTTTTTGAGTTTGGGCTTGAATCAAATAAGTGAGCACTTGAAGTTCAAGAGAGCACAGATTGGAAGGTTACAATCGAGTGCACTTTATCAAATGTGGTTGTGCAAGACTTCACCCTTTTTTTGAACATTTCACATACTACCCAGAGTGGTTTGCAAATGCGATGATCCTGCTGAAGTGTAATGCAAAGGTTATACCAGGCCTGGTGACTTTGAGAACTGTGTAAAAGTAGATTATTATTATATTTTGATTACCAAGTAACCTTAGTGATGCTTGAACACCTTGCCCTAAATCAAAACTCATTCTCTTTCTCAGTGATGGTTTATCCATGAACTTAATGTTATCTACATTTCTTTTCTAAATTTCTTGAAGAACAAGGAAGTAAGCTTATTAAATGTGAAACATTATACCTGGAAATAAAGTGAAAAAAATCAAACAAGGGATCAGAGCACTATAAGCTTCTGTATCCATGAAGTACAATGTGGAAAGATGACGTCTCACATGGGCTGCCAATTAACCTGCTTGAAATATATTGTCATAATTATTTCAAAGAGTTGCTAGACTCAATAATAGTTATGCCCAGCACTTTTTTTTCATAGTTCTGTTGCAAAGTTAGCATTTGTGCATCTTTTTAGTCATCAGGAATTTGAATATAAATCAACTGATTTACATTCCATGTTCTTTCAATTAATTTTCCCTTTCTGATTACTTTGAACTTCCACCTTCCTTCACTTCAAGGGATTCCCTTTTTTCACAAATGACTTTTCCTGAAACATTAAATTCTATTTCCATTGTTTGGTTTGCTTCTTCCAGAAAACATGTTGTTTTTGCCAGTGACCACAAGAGGACACAATTTCCTAGAGAACTTGGCTAAAAAGAAGCTTATTGAAGGGGAAAGCTAACTAAATAGCAAAAATGCCACACAATTAATGAATATCATTCTGGAGATGCACAGCTGACTTATATCATTTTCATTAATTTTGAAAACCAAACATGAATTGGTAATCACTATAGATGTTTTTCAAAGATGGTCTGTGTATTTTTTATTGTGCAATTTGAGGAAAAAGACAATTCTGAAACAATATCAAAATGCTACTGTTGTATTACAGAAGAATGTTTATATTCCACTCATAGAATTTGTTTTAAGTTCTTAGTGACCTGGAATTTTAGTAACATTATTTTAGAATTATGTTTGACAATACAAAAATAATTTGAAAAAATAATAATGTCAAAATGCTCTTAAAAGCTTTAATTTTTAGTTTGTCTTTTGGTATATCTTCACATAGAAAATTGCATTCAAGCTATATTTTGTAGTTTGTCAGTAAATTTGGTTGCCTATTTGATAGTTTAATAACTAAAATTGTTTTGTACAGATATTAAAACGTAGTATCCCTTAAGATATTTATTGTGAACACTTTTCTACAATTATGTGCAAACTTAATTTGATTGACAATACCCCTTCTTTGTTCTATGTATTTCCCTGAAAAAAATTATAGAAGTTAAGTCCAGCAGTGTATGTCTGCAATCATAATCTCAGGAAACTAAGGGGAAATTGATGCAGATTTTAAGCCAGAACCAGAATTGGGCTACATTGTGAGACCCGAGACATAATGGCCTATAAAGGGAATTGCCATCTGAAAAAGAAAGTTTTAGCACATTTAATTACTTTGTATATTAAGTAAGTTCCATCACGATAGTTTTCTAGAA